ACTGAGGAATGAGCAATACATTTTTACATTTTTAACAGTGTTTGCAAACTACAAAGACACTTTTATTTTGAAAAAACTGAGACAAGTTCAGCTTTCTATGATTATAGACCCTTTAATGTCAAGCAAGCACATCTGAGATAAATAAAAAAATCTGGAAAAAAAAATCTGGAAAACCTGGCATCTCCTGATACAAAGATATTTTATAATGGTTTTTAGTATCTGTTATAATTAACATATTTTATTATATTATTGTTCTACTTATAAACCTTTCACATTAAATGTCTTAGTTCATACACAAACAAATTAATAAGATGGAAAATGTGGAAAAGATTTTGTCGCATAAAATATGTGATGTACTGTAAACATTTCAAATCCAGGCATAAATGAAAATAAATAAACTGCAAAATATGAAAAATGTAACGTTAAAACACTTTATGATATCGATGTCAACATGTAAATGTTCTACTGTGGAAAAAAAATTAAACCCAGGAAGAAAGAAAAATGCAAAACATGGCACAGATGACCCATCCTGTATTATACTGTTGAGATAATTGAGAAAACATATGGTGGTGTAGTAAGAAACTGTAGATCATGTGAATACAGGTCACTGTGAAAATGTTAGGAAATGATTTGTAAAGAGAAACGTCAGCGCCATCTGGTGGTCAAAGTATGTTACTGGACTCGAGATCACAGCCAGAGACTAACACCTGTTGATAAGCTATTCAGAAGTGTCCCCTCTTCTAATTAGAGAGATGACCCAGGGGGGATACATGAAGCTGAGAGCCGCCATATCAAAATATTTCCAGGAACGCAGTCATGTGGTTTTGGGGAGAGGGAGGGTGGACTCACCTGCCCCTTAAGCGGACAACAGAGATTCGAGCCCCATTCACACATGCGGGAAATTCTGCCCATTTCACCGATTCCACCAACACCCACACCCCCTGAATTACATGGTCATGAAGGAGCTAAAACATGAACATTGCTACATCCATGCTAATAGCAAGCTACTAGTCCTGCACACTGTCACATGACAGCAAGTCTACTATTAACCTTAAACACAATTTACAATAACTCCAGATACTCCTAACATACTGTGCTAATTACTCAATTCGGTGCACAGCAGTGCTAGTTTGCACATAGCAAAAAACATATTTTGGCTCCTTAATGACCTCGTAACTCAAAAGATCCAGTGACATTCAGAGGATGCAGGTTAAAACATATCTAGTTTGGAGCAGTTTTGTTAACCACAGGGCGTGATTCATTTTTGGCACAGAGAAACACAGCTCCGACCTGTTTTTAGTATAGGCATGACACGGACTACAGAATGATGACATTATTACATTACTTTACAATCCTTTACAACTACATCCATTTATGACCATTGTGATAATGCTACTTTCTACTAGATGAAAAAATGATGCTAGAAGGCTGCCATGATCTGCTGTGAGGAGCACTTTTTATTGAACACACAAGCAAAAAAACACAGAACACCAAACTCATAGGGAAGGTTACCTCTAGCTACACACTTCTCCCTGACGGTGACCCCACTTCCTGACACAGATTGACACGTTAACATATATACCCAACTTAAACTGAACAAAAACAACATTTAAACGACATAAACAGTCCTTTTTCAGGAGGGCGCATACCTACCATGAGAGCTGGAAGATCATGTCATGCTGTCTCAAAGGCAGATGCAAATTCATCTGGCCTTCAGGGCTGGTTAAAAGGCTGCGGGTAGTATGCAGCTATCATTAATGAGTTGATAATTCTGAGAATGCTACAAATGTGACAGGTAGATAAGCCAAATGCATTCCTTAAAGGACATCTGTTCACTTGATTATCTCTAAGACTTAGACTAAACCTCCATGCCTCTACATTTTAAATGTCCCTATTAGGTAGTGTTAATGGCCTTTCTGTTTCTAAGGATGGTAGGATGCATTTCTAGAGCACTACATCATCCAGTCAGAAGTATTCTTCAAACAAAGCTGAGAAATGACATTATGACCTTTATGTTATGTGAGTATCCTGTACAGTCCTCTGTCAATTCTTTGCGCATGCAAAAAGTTCAAGAGAAGTGCTGGCAGAACTAAACCAACCTCTACACATTGTTTAAATAAGGCTTGAGACTAGTATTTTTAAAGGTGGATATAGTTTAGTATTTGCTGCCTATACTAACATGACAGCAGGGATAGCACACCTGATTCAATTCATTAATTAATTAACAAGCTAGTCCTAATGGAAATCTAATGAAGTCTATGATACCTGTCTAATAATAATCCTTCTAGACATTACTAAAACACGCTACGCTGAGGTGAGGGATGTACTATACCCTCTGTGATTACTTTGTTTGGACTTTAATGATTGAATTAAGTAGACATTATGAAAGAACAATAGAATTCCCCTTAACTGGTAAGCGATTAGCCCAGACACCTATTAACAGTTGTACAATATTTATACATTTAGCTAACAAATATTTGTATTTTACAGATTCTTATAGGAATTCATTTGACAGACAATATTTATGAAAGGATTCACGGTATACAAAGTAAAGAACATCTTACATGCATGTCTTACAAGGTTCATGTGTCAGTGTTTAAGCTAGAACTGCCTAGAATTAAACCCACTTGGCACTAACATAACATGAAAAGGCCACATAGACACTGATAGAAAGTAGCATTGTCACAATGTCCATAAAGTTACATCAGAAATGCTGCATTTTAGTAGCCCATATCATTTATTTAGTCCTGCTTATTTATATTCAGCAAAAGCCCTCATAATGTAAGGTGAACTAGACTGATTTGTGAAAGTTACCCCAGCAGTACTGCAATTTTTTCCCTACCTCAAATGTTGCTGCATATTCATATTTCTAGTATCAAAAAGTTGATTTAGTTGGATGTAACTTTTGTTGTAAAGATTGTAAAAGACTGAAATGATACTATTTTATTAGTGTAGGTGATTGGGCTTGGCCAATCAGATGGCGTTCTATGCGGAGCTTAATGAATGTTAATGAGCTTTTCCTGCATATTCTACAAAAATACATGCCACTACCAGGGATGGGGACAATGATATTACAAAACAGATAGTTCAGGTCCTAAAATCTGTGTTCGAAGCCACTGTAAAATACTTACTATATTCATACATAAAACCACCTCACAAAAAACGGAATCTGTATTACAATACCAAATTACAAAAAGCGCGGGTGATAGTATAATTGTTGACTGCAATGCGGCTCACAAGGATCACTGAGTGTACTGCTGAAGTAAGAACACGATTTTGCTTAAACTGAGGGTCTGACAAATTGTTTTCTTAACTAGTACTAGGCTGATCAGCTGGCTAACATGCTAAACAACTTCTCCATTAACATTACATGGTTTGAATTGACGTACTAGTCTATGATTCACTGTAAAACTGCAATATAAAAATGTAAAATGCTTCAAATGTCCATGTTTTAGTTAGGATCTGCCTTAAGTAGCATTAAACCCAGGCTGACTCTCAAACGGCTCTCTACTACCTAAATAATGCGCTAATGCAAGTTATAAAGTTCTGGCTTCTGCAGTATTTGCCCAGTGTGCACATGTGACTGAATCCCAAATGGCTATTTGTAGATATACACTGTTAATGCACTGCATAGGGAGCAGGCCTCCATTTGAGGTTTAACGCCAGCATGGGAACAGGGATGTACAATGCTGTTCGCTTACAAGATGTTCACTGCAATGTTTGAGAAATGACAAAATATGAATGTAGGCCATGTTTACAATAATTAAACCAGAAGCAGACGGATTTCCTGTTTAATAAGTGGGGAGTCTTTAGTGACAGGAGCCACCCCTTCAGGTAAGCTAATGCTAAAGCTAAGGCTGGAACGAGTTTAATCTGACCGACAGCCAGTTTATTTTTGGAAGAAAATTGTTTTTAAATGTACTCCACTGTGTGCTCCTAAATTCTGTGTACTTTTGTACTGTTAACACAAATGCTACATGTGCTAGCAGGTAGTCTAAAATCAAAATTTGATAGCTGTAGCAACAAAAACTAATGGGGATGGGACTTTCTTAGAATTTTGCAGTCGATTATATTTCTCAGTTTCCAACACTGCTCGAAGGCGGCATAATAAAGTGTGTTTCGGAACGCCCGTTTTTCATGATACAATCAAATCTCGACTGATATATAATCATGTCCCACTGATGATAATTTCCTGCCTGAATATCCTGTTTTACTCTGAATATAGCACAGAACAGGCTAAACAGAGCTACATAGCTAATGTTTACATCATGATGGGGCTACTCTCAGGATGCTGAGGGAGCAGATGAGCCTGTCGGCTGAAATCTGGAAACCCTGATTACCTTTACATGAAAAAGAAGTTTATGTATAAATGAGGCTACGCTCACATCTGGAAAGAAAGAAAGAAAAATCAGGATACACTGGACTTTGCGTACATTTTCAGCTGAACTGTGAAGCAGCAAACTATTAACCAGAGTGGTGAATTTTAGTCAAGTCAAGAGGCTTCTATTGTCATTCCATGTACAAGTACACAGTGGAATTTAATTACATTCCTTCAAGGAACATGGTGCAACATGAAACAAAATAGACAGTACAAAGGTTTACTAATTTTATTAAAACATTTTATGAAATGTTTTAGTAATTGTTCCAACAAACATGCAAAGGCTATTTTCAACACAAAAATGAGACGTGAACAACAACAAGCAGTCAGTGTGCTGCTAACAACATAACTCAACTATAAAAGGAATTAGTAGCTGAATGTGAGGAAAGAAGTGTGAAATGGACCTAAAACCTCACAAACACATTCCAGCGTAAGTGAAAGTATTATCATTATTTTTAACTTTTTTTAAGTTTTCTCACAATTAGTTATTTTTAAGATGTTTTTTTCACTTTTCTCTCATTTCGGCTTTTTTGGATTTACTGTGTTCAGTTTTCTCTCGTTTCACTTCGCCTTTAAGAACCAAGGCATTCCAGCCAGTCGCGTGACGTCAAGAGAGAAAAAAACGGCTGAGGCGGAGAGTCGCTGGTGGAAACTAACGAAAGGGCAATGCGAGCTCTGGTAGCTAATGTGCGCCATTGTCGTCTTTTTAAACAACATTGTGTACGTTTTAATGTCGTCTAACTACTGTTATGAATACCCAGCGGGATTCGGAAGCCAGTGACCTTTAAAAACTTTTAACGCGGTTTGTTTTATTGTTTCTCTTCCGAAGGGAATTGGCGGTTTGACTTTCGAAATGGATATTAGCTAACCGGCTAGCTAACGAGATACCGACCTGGAAATAAGTTGGCTGAACTGGTCGAAAGAATCGTTATATAGTTCCTGTGTGGAGAAATATTCGGTCTTTTAGTCGATTTTTTATTTAATGTTGTTTTTTAGTTGTTTTGGGGGAAATAAACTTCAGGAAACCGTACTAGCGAACTAGCTCCTCAGTCCCCCCGAAAGCGAAGAGGGGAAGGAGCCGTCTCTTCCTCGACTCCTCCGGCCACGGGCACAATGTCGAACTCCCAGAACCAGCCGCCGTTTCCCAACCAGCAACCACAGCAGCAAAACCCGATTCAGTTTCCACAATTTCATGGGAAACCCATGCAGATAAAGAAAAACGCCATAACGGACGACTACAAGGTCACCAATCAGGTTCTCGGTTTGGGCATCAACGGGAAGGTTTTGGAAGTGGTTCAGAAGAAGAGCCTGGTGAAGTATGCGCTGAAGGTGAGATGAGTAAAATTGTCTGGAAACTGGGTGGCTGTGTATTAAATCAAGAGCTCTGAGCAACGAGAAAGGGGAAGGAAGCTTAATTTGACAATGTTTGGTAGAAATGAATGAGTTCTTGGGTATCTTATTCGAACAAGCATGCTTGAGAGTTCAGTGTATTTTATTTGAGCTTTTACTTTTAGGTGCTTAAGGTAAGACCTAGGAGTAACAAGGGAAGTGTAAAATTTATGCAGAGATGTAGCTTAATTAAAATTGACTTAAGCTTTGCATCCTGTTACAATGGCCATTAGAGGAAGCACCTGCCAGACGTTTCTAATCGAAATATTAATAGGGACATAGCTGTGACGTTTTTCCCTTCAGGTTTGCGTTTACAGCGTTTAACGGGGTAAGTGTTACCTGTGGATCGAGAATGCTGCTTATTTGCCTTATATCAGGCACTCTTTTAATAGATTTGCAGTGGTGGAAAATCACTTAATTGTTCATTTGAGAGTGATTAGTTACGTTCTGAAGCCTTCTTTTACCAGAAGTGCCGGTCATCCAATCTCCAGCCCCCACCATTGATTTTAATTCTACGTCGGTTTGACCAGGGATCAGCAGCTCCCGGGCAGCAAGCTGTCAGAGTATGTAATATATTGCGGCCTTAGAAAAGACGTGTATTTGTTTTTTATGTGACGCAAATCTGTTCGCAGTTGCGCAACATGGAAAATAAACCTGTTTATTGGAGCATGAAAGGATGAGCTCCATTTGTCAGGCTACTACATATTAACACACATGAATGACATGAAAAATTATTTTTCGTTTGCCTTTACGTTGTGACTTGTAGGCTTCTCTCAGTAGTTAATGCAGTGGGACTGCTTTAAGCGCATCTCTTATTAAAATAATAGCACTCCATTTGAATGAGTCAGGTGCTTCCACCTGTGGGTGTTTTTGAGTAATCAAAGTTCGGTCAGCAGGATTGAGGGCACAATTTGTTTATTTGTCTCAAAGGTCAAAGCACTTGCACTTCTGTGGTCTGCCTCCTCCCACTTGCTGTCTGCGCCCAGAAGCAGAGTGAGAAAAGCGGAGGCGTTCATTCACTCCTTCGCTTCTAAATGAAACATTGCGTTGGCAGCTAAGTATTGTCTGGTGTTAAAGCATTTGTTTAATACAGCAAAAATGACTTTTATTTGTGCCTCATCTGTAAAACTTGAGGCTTAGGGTGTGACTGGATGTAAAGGCCATAAAAATAGCTTGTTAATTGGCTGTCTCTCTGTCAACAGCAGATGGTCGATTAATGAATTCAGCATTGCTGTTTTACGTTCAACTGTTAGGCTAATGGCACTTGTTTGCAAATCGATAGAAGGAAGTACAGGAAAGCTGGCGCTGGCTTTTGCTGATGTTTGGCAGGGCACAGTGAGCCACCTCTAAAGGGAAACCCTGTGGCTTTAACAGTGACAGTGATGATGTCAGTCCCCTGGCTCAGTTTCTGTCATCGTGTGGGAGCTCTCTGTACTCCGGTGTCAGATCTGGCTCCTCATTGCATACATCTCCTCCTCCCAGCCTGGCTGTTTTTAGCTGCAGAGGAGCTCTGCATACCACTCTGTGTGTGTATGAGAGAGAGAGGGATTAGAGGAATAATGGGGGGAGAGAGAGAGACATAGACAGTGAGACCTTTGGAAAGCATATGAATGATCACGAAGCGTAGAAGGAAGATTCAGCCAACTCTGTCTGGTATGTGTGTCAGTAATTCTTTTACGAGCGTCTTGGTGGAGCTACCTTATAAGTAGAGGTGGACAATATGAAGACGTTTTATTGTAATTGTGATATTTTTTATAGTAATGAATTTTGTGCAATACAAAGAAAAGAAAACAAAAGAGTTGATCTTTGACCAAATCAAGCCTCATCTGTCTTTGGACATATTCTGAGAAGAACCATTATGCTTGGAAGAGTTGATGGTAAAAGAAGAAGAATATGACCAGCTACAAGACGGATGGATGCAATCAGAGGGATCATGAACCAACCATAGAGAAGCCTGAAGACCCAAACAGAAGACAGGATATTCTGGAGAAGCACTAATCATATGGTCGCCAGGAGTCAGAGACGACTTGATGGCACTTAATAATAATAATAATAATAATGCTAATAATAATTAGGGGTGAGGGGAAAACTCGATTCTTAGATGCATCGCAATGCAGACGTGGACGATTCTGAATCGATTCACAAATGTCAAAAATCGATTTTCTAAATTTTAATTTATAATGTAATGTTCATGGAACGCAAAAGGCGGAACTTGGAAGTGCGGAAGTGCAGTGCCCGGACACTCTGTGGCGGGGCATAATAAAAACACAACTGGATGAGCGAGAAATCTGACCGGCACCCTCTGCATTGAAAGCTAGGTTAGGTCAGGAGTCGACAACCCAAACGTTAAGAAGAGCCATTTTGTCCTTTTAACAAAAATCAAACCACCTTGGGAGCCACAACATTTTATGTCCAATACGTCTCAGTATGTGCTAATGTCCTAGTATATAAAAAATATAAACTGCTTTAAGATTTAGCTGTAGCCACTTTCCTCCCATCTCCGCCAGAAAACTTTTTCTCAAAAGTAGAACAGTTTCTTGTAAATTGTCTCTCAATGTTTGACTGTTTTACGAGGCTGAAGTTGCTTCTTATTCGAATTTTCCCTTTCCACCTTAAATTCTGCCTGAGGTGCCAGAATGTAAATGCGGCAGCGTTTAAGGTGGAGCGGGAAAATTCGGAAGAGAAGCTTCATCTTCTCAACTTTTTGCTCTTTGACAGTCTCTCATTGCAGGTTTAACGTTCCAGGAAACCAACTGCGCTGCTTATAAATCCATATGAGTCCATTCGTCTCCAAATGTTCGTCTTAAATCTGTCTCTTTGCCTTTTCGTTAGCGACTAGCTAGGCGAGACTGCGTTGCTATGTGACCTGCAGTCTGCATGCCAGTTCTCAGAACGAGGGCTTTCACGCTATGTTGCACACTTTGGAGCTGAGATTCAGCGTCCCGTCTCGAAGATATTTTACTGACACAGCGATCCCCACTCTCTACAATGAGACCAAAACCGAAGTTCTAAATTCAATAAAGAAAACGGGTAGGACGGCTGTAACGTGTGCTGCGTGGACATCTATTGCCACTGGATCTTATATCACCGTAATTGCGCATTTTATCGCAGATGAGTGGCAGCCTGCGTCTCATGTGCTTCAAACAAGAGCACTGAATGAGAGCCTTCCAGTTCACTTGCCACATCACTTCCATTTGTTTTATTAATAAAAGATATTGGAAGTAAATTCATTGTGGATCGTTGCAAATACTTTGGTTTAAAAGCACCAAGTAATCACACAGTGAGAAAGAAATCCTGTATAGAAAAAAAAAGATGCATCAAGATGCATCGATAATCGTTTAATAATCGTATCGCAGCCCTCCGAATTGTAATCGTAATCGAATCGTGAGGTGCCTAGAGATTCCCACCCCTAATAATAATAATAAGAATGATGATGTTTTGTCATGTTGACTATCCCACTTGTAAATCAAGAAAATCTGTTTTTAAATAAAGAGCCCACTATAGCCTTGATATAGACCTCTCAGTACTTCACTTAGTTTGCCATTAGCGTCTGAATGAGCCTTGGGTTTAAAATAGTTTTCTGTATGTGAAAACTGAATTATATGCACAAGAGTAGTAGAATTCAGTCCATTTAGTCATGTCACCAGCTACAAATTAATACGGGGATATATATATATATATATATATATATATATATATATATATATATATATATATATATATATATATATATATATATATATATATATCTCGGTTTATTGGATTTTTGGTGCTATTATGATTCAGCTTACCTGGAAATTGGTTAAAGTATTTATACCTTACACTTAAAAGAAAAGATAAAGGGCTATCATTGGTTATTTTTCTAAAGCTAAGGCAGAAATCATCTTTCTTTAGAATGAAGAGTTTTTGCATTCCAAAAAACTGGCACCATGTAGAGTGACGCTTGCAGGGAGAAAATCACCAATCACAACGTTGTCTTTCAACTCTAGGCAGTCTTCGTAATTCCTGTCCATATGTGTCGAGTCTTTGGGGTAGTGCTTTTGTCAAGGAGACTTCACAGTAGAACACTTCTGCATTTAATCATGTACATGCGTGTGGTGCCTTGCTTAGACTTGTGAAGGCAGTTATGAGCTCTCTGATGAAAGGCCTCAAGACAGAAAAAGGGCCTGCCTGAATTGAAGCCTTACAGGAATAGTAGGGATACATAAAAAGCCCCTGAACTTTTTTAGCTAGCAGGTTTTAGCCTGACTTATGCACACCCATCCTGATTGGTGTTACACAAATATAAATGCTCTTCTCTTTTTTGCAAGTCAGTAGGTTTCGTTAACCAGATGAACTGGTTAGCTATGTGTTCTGAAGGAATGCAATTTATAAGAGCCATGCACATTTCCTACAAAAATGAGCATTGTTTTGAAGTTCTCACTGCTGTGCCACATACATTAAGGCTCTTTTGTTTTGGAGGAGTAGTGTCATCTAAGCTTATGTTTACTCCTCAGATCCAAAGTGTGACTCCAGCCTCTGATCTATTGAGCTGATTAAGCAAGGGATTAAACAGCCATGTGGTGTCTGTTTTAAAGCGCTGTCTGTCTGTGTGTGGGTATCAGTAAGGTTCTTACTCTACTGTAATCCAGTGTTGCTCAGCTTTGAACTTCTGTGTCAAATCATGTTGTCTGGCTAAGAGCTCAACTCTGTGGCTTATTGCCATGGGAATGCAGGATCAACATTAGCTGACCATGATTCATCATTAAAGCATGTTGTCTATAGCCATGCTGCTGTAGCGTTTTGAGGCTGTGATATACCGTCCAGGATGTGCAACTGTGTGTTCCAGCTGCACTGGAGAAGAAGGCATTTCAGTCATTTAGAGGTGTTTTTCTGTGTGTCTTGTGTTCCATAGAAACTAAGTTAATTTGTTAGTTTGTCATGTGGTGTTGAAATAAGTA